TAAACAAGATTATACTATATAGCACAGGGAAATACATACAAGATCTTATGGTAGCTCACAGAAAAAAAAATGTGACAATGAAAATATATATGTTCATGTATAACTGAAAAATTGTGCTCTACACTGGAATTTGACACAACATTGTAAAATGATTATAAGTCAATAAAAAATGTTAAAAAAAAAAAAGAAATAAGAACACCAAAGATGTCCTGCTAGAGTTAAAAGATAGGGAAAGGGTTCACTGTTGCTCTTGGATGGGGTAGGAGTGTGCAGCAATCATCTTGGTCATCATTCACAAGAAATCCTCTGCATACAGTGGGTCATATGAAGGTTGTGGTTTTTGAGTGAAGAAGTGTGAAAAATGATATATTCAACACTCATCAAGTTATTTTCTAGTCCTCTGAGTTGGACAGCAAAGGAAGGAGGTGGTGCAGAAAAAAAAATCACAAGAATTCTGCACCACTTTTTCATACAGCACAATGAAGCAGCAGTTAAGAAGAATGAGAGAGTACATTACAAATGTTTGGGAACAAAAAACAAGGTGAGAATGAAAAATGTAAAGATAATTTAGAGATGACGTGTGGCTCTCAGTAGCACAGACAGGTGCCATGTGGAAAGGAAGCAGAATCCCTGTTCTGGAAACCCAAATTTTTTTTTTAATAAAAAATCTTTTCTGAACGTGAATTAGTAAGTGAAATTAATGCTCCTTTTTATTAGATGGGAAATAAGATAATTACGTACACTGTGATTGCTAAGTGGCTTTAAAGGTCATTTGCATATTGCAAGTAATACCTTTTAGGGTAATATATTTTCCCTGCTAGGGCTGTCATGAGAAATTTGAAAATAAATAGTATCACACGCAGCACAGTTACGTTACGATCATTCAAAACAAGCTGTTCTAAGCTATATGTGGCTCTTAACCACACTGAATGAAGCTTTTTTAATCCTAAGAATGTTGGTTTTTGGGTGAGGTCTCTCATCTTTTATCTGAGAGTTACGTGCCTGGCTATAATCTGTCAAAGGTGTACTCACTTTTAGTCTAAAGATGATTTGTAGCTCTAGTCCATATTCCTTCAGCTGCCATAAAACATACAACGAAATCATATTAGATTAACACAGGCTGGTATTGACAGCCCACTGGGAACATATTGATTAGGTCCCCTTTCATGTTATTTGTTATGATTTTTCTTCTCAGTTTCATTTACTGGGAAGACACAGCGGAAGAGATTTCACCGGGAACAATGACAGTGCCTGTCACAAAATGTTCTCAATGTTTCCATTTGTTACTATGGCAGTGACAAAGAGGGTTCCAAATGAAAAGGCAGACCTGCTGTGCTTTGTCACAGCAGGACAACAGGAAGAAATTTTCTACTGACCTGGGAAATTAGGAAATCATACTTAGAGATTATAGAATTGTCTCCATTTCCAAGGGTACAATCGTAGCACTTGGGCTTTTGAGGGAGAATGTGAAAAGGGTAGTTCCATCAGGGCTGGCTGGTGACAAATAAAGGGCAGACATCAGAAAGTGCTTAAGATCTCCAAATAGAACAAGGAGGTACACTTGTAGAGGTCAGAGGGATTTGTCACTGTGATTAAACCCTTGAGATGGAACTATGAATTTAATTTATGTACGTCTGGGGCACTCATTTAAAAATTATACATGAAAATCTATGACACAGTCATATATCCCTTATGTGGCTATTAGAATACATGGCACTCCAGTACTGGGATATATAGTATTAGCGCATGGTAGGGGAAGTCATGCTTTCTCTGAGAACTTGAAACTGGGACTACAATATAGTTATGCAAAGTCACAAAAGAAAGAAATGCTTTTAAGCCAGAAAAACTTGAAACAGGAGGAATATATTAACCATCCAAAGACAGAATGTCTCAATCAGAAAGGAGATACGTTAATCTGGCAATAAAGCAAAGAAAAGGAAACTACATAGTAAATATAAAAATGCCATTGCTTCTCCCTTCATGTTTAAGATAGAAGAGTATGCTTCAACAGCTAGTGTATATTTCCAATCCTAGCAGAAAGGCTTTTCCTGCTGTAGAGATGGGAATAGAGGGTTTTAACCAATGGATCTTTGAGTATTTGCAATTAACAAGACCACCTCTATTGCAAGATGGATGTATCAGCCTGGTGCTACTAAACAGTTGATTCATATAACTCTTTGTATTCGAATTCCATGCTGACCAAGCAAGTTTATGATCTGGCTTTCTGTATGTCTGTAGTGCAATCAATTCTACTGCTTAGCAAAAAGCTCCTGGTTCAAACCCACCAGGGATTACAGTCCTTCGATTCTTTTCCCTTTCACCTTCTCTTTCTTTTCTGCAGCAATCCCACCCTAGAGCCCTCAGAATCCTACCAGATAACAAAAGCACATGTTCAATAAATGAAGTCATCTATTCAGACAATAGGAAGATTCGCTTCTGCCAAACCAGCTTTTGTGAGGAAGGCTGGTCTGTGGTTCTGAGTCCTAATGATGAAATTTCCCTAAAAGTTTACAGAAACAGTACAGTTCAGTAAGACCACTAACTCTGGAGCCAGACTGTCTGGATTTGAATCCTGGCTCTGCTACTTTCTAACTATGAGACTTTTACTTAATCTCTCCATGTTTCAGTTTTCTCATCAGTGAAACAGAGTTAAAAACAGCCTACCTCAAGGAACTTTTATGAACATTAAGTGAGTTATACAGTGCTTACTTAAGATATCCGTTGGCTACTAGGTGCTACATAAATATTATATGTTACTACCACCATACAGTATAAATTCTAGCATAGACAGAAGTGCTAAACATGCCAATGTAAGCATTCCTTGTTAAAATGACATTAGAGTATTCATCTTATTGCATGACTCAGTCTTTCAGAATCTGATTACCCTGGGAACCAATCAGAGGAGGGTTAAAGTGAGAAAAACGGCTACCTAACTGAGGTTTTACCAGTGAAGTTCTGCCTGCCTTCCATTTTCACTATATTGATTTCAACAGTACATAGTAAATCCAGGGTGTGATGAAAGTGAATAGTGAGGAACCTGCCAACATATTACACGAGGGGTTGGCAAACCATAGCCTAAGGGCCAAATCCAGTCTGTGGCTTGTTTTTGTACAGCAAGAGAGCCAAGAAAAATTTATACATTTTTAGAGTATTGTAAAAAACCAAAAGCAAAACCAAAAACAAGCAAGCAAACAAACAAAACGAGAATATGCAACACAGTACGTACATGGTTTACAAAGCCTAATATATTCACTACCTAGCCCTTTAGAAAAAAAGTTTGCAGATCCCTGTTCCACACTCTTTCCTTTTTATTTACCTCACTGTACCGTAGCAATGAGTATATAATGAGGCCAGGTAAGTAGAGTGAGATTAAGAAAGAGGCTGAAAATCCTGTAACAAAGGGCCCAAGTGCTCTGATGATGTAGTTCACTTATCACTCTAACCATAATGCAAATGGGTAGCTAGCTGTTCCTATTCAGTACACGAAGAATGACTTCTCTCTCCCTCAAAAAGTCTACATATTCCTACCCTGTACTGGAAGTATTACAGGTAGTTAGGGGTCTGTAAAGGAATTTGTTGGTATAGGAAGCCCTGGGCCTCAGGGTCAGAAACACTGGCTAATTAGGTCACTTTCATATGGCCTCTTGATGTATCCAAATAAATATCAAAGAAATAGAATACTTACTGCTTTAAATATTTTAAAGTGCTTAAATAATGCACACACAAGTTATAAGTTTAAAAGTTCCTGGACTAAGATCCCTGGCTTAAATAATTTCTAACCAGGAAATCAATATTATTTCTTTAACATATTACAGAATTTGGCCCAATTCTGGATATTTTCAGGCTACATGGTTCTATAGCTCTGAAGTAGTATGGAATAGGAAAAACAGCTGCAAAATACTCTAATCAATGATAAAGGTTTTCAGAGCAAAGAAATAAAAGATGCACATATGACAGTGAAGTAGAGCATTATTTGTCCTATATGCTCTTTCCAACAGGGCATGGACCGTGCTACCAGTCTAATGGTTAACAGGTCATTTAAGACTAGGCATGAAAAGTTTCAAAGAAGGAAAAACATGAAAAACTTACGCTGGTGTAAAAGAACAATAAAATAAAAGAATATATATTTTAAAGAATAATTTAAAACCACCACATAATCTTCAATAAGCTTCCCATAATTCAAATTACCTTCCAAGGAAAGAAGGACAAGGGTCAGCTCCATTTGTTGTCTTCTCCTTGTCTTGCTTGATGTTATGACAAATATAGATCAGGAGAGACTCTTCCCAGTTACCAGTCAGGAATCTAAAGCTTTCTAGAGATCTTAACCAAGCTTAACAACACTTAGCTAGAAGGAGTTTAGACATATCAAAAACACTTTTGAACCAGATTTTAGATCAATCTAAGTTCCCAAGCCAAGAATCTTCCAATTGTCTTGATTTTATTTTTTGCTACTCATTCCAAAAGTGATTTAGTTCTTATAAACTATGGCAGTTCTTATAGAGCCTGAAGTGGACAAAATTTAACCTCTTCCTGATACAATAAACATTAAACAATTACGTTAGAAGCAGATGTTTTAACCAAAGGATATAATCCAAAGATATCACCCGTTGGTTATTAGCGTGCTATTTAATATTCACAACTTGTTTTAAAGAACAACAATGTGTTAACATTTAAGCCTGAAGGGCTATGATTATATTATGTACTGTAGTTGATGCAGCCTGTTTATGCAATATCCTGACAAACACAATTAATCTTGTGAAAATGACTGGGATATAGTGTAATAGTAAATTATTTTTAAGCCAAAAATACATATTTTCCTGTAGTAATATACTCTTATAACACTCACAACGATAGTAGCATATGGAAAGAACATTAAGAGTTAATCCTTTAAAAGAAGAAATTAAAAGTTATTAAATTCATAAATCTTGGCTATGCGGCAGAGATAAGAGTTAAAGGAAATGTTTAACTTGTAAGTAAGCATGAAATAAACGAGTCTGTACCTCCAACAAATGCATCTCCAGCTCCATTGGTATCAACGATTTCTTTCTGGTCTTGATCCAAGACAGCAAAAGCAGTGACTTCACTTTCTGCAATCAGAGCCAAAGAAAGGCAAATTGACTTCTCTTTGTAACACTCAGTATACAAACTCACTCAGTTCAAAGTTTAAAGCTCCTACATCATTCAGAGAGAGATGGAACATGAGGTCCATACTCTATACACCAGCACATAGGAACAAAGTGAAAGATTATCTGTAAGCAATGCTTTTTTGGTCATTTTCAGCCTACAGATGCTGTATGTGTTTTGTTAGAATTCGACCTAGGTAGTTCATGACTGTAAATGGTAGCAGTACCTTTTTGGAAAGCAAAAATACTTGAACAGAAACTAGGAACTAAAGGAAGTGTTTGTTAAGTACTAGATCGTGATCTCTAATAAAGCATTGAGCCTGGTTACAGTCCTGGCAGTGAAATCTTGGGACACAGTTAAAGAGCTGTAAATTTAAAAAATGCAAACAACGAGTCTTGGGTGTTTCTCTATGGAAAATTACAGTGGCACAATAAAAATATAACTGCTATTCTGTTATAATAGTTGATGCCAACATCAAGGACTATGGACATTAGTTGGCTTATTATGGATAATCTAACCTGGTTACTTTTTTACAAAGGAGTCACTATTTCCTCCAAACTATCTATCAAATAACAAAAGGGAGAGCTACCACTGAATGCATGGGCAGAACAAAAGGGACAGTGCAATGAGTTCCTGTCCTACAGTCTGGACCAGGGCTTAGCTGTTTTGACTACAGAGTAACCTAATACAGTACTTTAAACTTGGCATGTTACAGTGGAATGGCATTACAGTAGTCCCCCTTATCCACAGTTTTGCTTTTTGCAGTTTCAGTTACCCATGGTCAGCTGAAGAACAAAAATATTAAATGGGAAATCCCAGAAATAAACAGTTCATAAGTTTTAAGTTCCACACCATTCTGAGTACCATTCCACTCCGTCCTGCCCTGGATGTGAATCATCCCTTTGTCTGACGTATGCCGCCTGTAAGTCACTCAGGAGCCGCCTCTGTTATCAGACTGTCACTGTACTGCAGTGCTTGTATTCAAGTAACCCTTATTTCACTTAATAATAGCCCCAGAGCACAAGAATAGTGATGCTGACAATATGGATATGCCGAAGAGAAACCATAAAGTTCTTCCTTTAAGTGAAAGGGTGAAAGTTCCTGATTTATTGAGGAAAGAAGATTGTATGCTGAAGGTGATAAGATCTACAGTAAGAACGAGTCTTCTATCCATGATATTGTGAAGGAAAACGAAATTTGTGCTAGATCTGATGTAATTCGGACCTCGAAATGCCAAAGTTATGGCCACAGTGTGTGATAAGTGCTTAGTTAAGACAGAAAAGGCATTAAATTTTGGGGTGGAGAAAACGAACAGAAAATGTGTTCCTATTGACAGCAATGTGTTGTGCCAGAAAACATGGAGCCTACAGGAGCACTTTAGCAAGAGATCCCCTGAAATGAGTGACACCAGGCCATTTTCTGCAAGTAAAGGATAGTTACACAGATTCAGGAAAGATTTGGACTGAAAAACATGAAAATTACTGGAGAGGCTGCATCCGCATGAAGAAGCTGCTGCCACATTTACGGCAGTGTTGAAGGAGCTGATTAAGGAAAAAGGATACCATCCAAAGCAAGTCTTCAGTGGCGATGAAATGGGGCTCACCTGGAAGAAGATGCCTAATAGAAGCTACACTCATAAAACACAGAAGGGCAGAGTAACTCTGGTGCTACATGGCAACACCACAGGGTGTATGACAAAGCCAGGTGTGGTGTGCACAGTGTGCAGAGTGAAGAACCCACGTGCTCTCAAAAACAAAAAACAAAAATTATCTGCCTATGACTGGCAACATAATCAGGAAGTGTGGGTGACAGTCATCTCGTTTATGGAATGGTTCCCCCTGCTCAATCCAGCAGTGAAAAAATATTTGGAAGAGGAATGGTAGGAATTTCAAGTCCTATTGATAACAGATAATGTACCTGGCCATCCTGAATTGTTATAAAATGAAACGCTGAGGTTGGATTTCTACCTTCAAACACATCCTCATTGCTTCAACCCTTGACCAGGGCATCATTCAGTTTGTCAAGGCCACATGCACCCACCTGGTATTTGATCACATTTGATCAGCAACTGATGCAGACTCTAACCTGGACACAATACAGTGCTGGAAATCATTCACTATTTCTGATGCAATAACATTCATCAAAGTTGCAGTGGATAAGTTAAAACCAGAAATTATAAATGCCTGCAGTTTTGAATGATTTTAAAGGCTTCTTGGGAATCAGTGGAGAAGGTAGGAAAACCATTCATGCAGTTGGCAAGAAGGATTTGCCGACATGCTCGATAAAGTAGAACACACTGAAGGCCAATGAGAAGTGCTATTAACAAATGAGAAACTAGAAGAACTTGTTGAGTCACCTACGGAGGAAGAGAAACATAATGAAGGAAAAACTGAAGCAGAACCAGCAATTTGGATTTTAAACGAAATTTGTCAAACTGTTTCAAATTGTGCAGACTTAAAAGACAAAGTTAGGGAATATAAGATCCTTGGATGGAACACAGCACTAAAGTCACCCTTATAATTACTGAAGGATTGATTCAGCCTCTGCAGCAAAACTTGATGAGTGAAAAACAGAGACCCCTTCTGATTACAATGCTCTTCCACAAAGTTTTGGTAAAACAAACAAAAACAGCAAACAAAAACCCTTCAACTATTGAAGATTCCCAACCATGGACATCATCTGCTCCTGACATCCAACCATTGACACTGCTATGGCTTGATGATCCTCCTTCTGATGTGTCATCAGAAGGTCAATATTAGCCTAACGCTACGTCACAATACCTGTGTCATTCATCTCACCTCAGGTCATAACACAGGCCTTGTATCATCTCCTGTCATCACAAGAAGGGTGAGGACAGCACAATAAGATAATGTGAGAAAGACAGGAGACCACATTCACATAACTTTTATTACAATATATTATCATAATTGCTGTATTTTATTATGGGTTATTGTTGTTGATCTCTTACTATGCCTAACCTGTAAGTTAAACTTTATCATAGGTATGTATGTATGTATAGGGAAAAAAACATAGTATATGTAGAGTCTGGTACTATCCACAGCTTCAGGCATCCACTAGGGGTTTGGGAACATATTCCCTGCAGATAAGGGGGACTACTATATTTGTGATGAAATCTGGCCTAGAGGACATTTGTAAGAATTTGGATAGTGCTTTTCATTGGTGTCTGGAACTTCTGAAATCACAAATTTGCATCCCTCATAGGGTCAGATGTGGCTGAAGACTGGTAAACTTCAGTCTCACCTAAGATCAAGAAGGAGGGAAAAGGAGATCTTGAAAACTTTAAGGTGTTAATAAAGAACCTAGGAGTCTCAAAAAGCATGTTCTGTCTACCTTTTCCTACCTGCTACTAATGGATACTTTCAACAAGATTTAAACATAGATATGATAATGAAAAAAGATTCTCCTGGAAAGACTGATATTCAAGAAGAGGACTCGTTCACTTAGTGATCCCTTTCGAGCACATGGCTGAAGATGCTAAGGAGACTCCATAGGAGAAGCATCTATTTAAACTCTTTAAGTACTAACTTTGCATACTTTGTAACACCAAATGTACATGAAGTTGACAAGATTTGATTAATTGGAAGTGAAGGCATAAATATTCAAATATCCAGGATTAAATTTTCTAGGGAGTATACAGTACACATTGCTACACAAGGCCAAAAAAAAAAGATATAAGCAGACTTTACTAGAAATAATTAGGAAAGGTCTACAGTCTGATTTAGAAAAAGGTCTATACCACAAATATTTATAAAGAAATCTGATTTTATTACTTACAAGTCATACTATAAAGGGAATTACAACTATAAACTAAGAACAAACAGGCACTAAAAAAGTAAAACAAGCTATGTTAATGATACCATTACCATTTATAACAGGGTTACATTATGTAATAATGTAACTTGTTTATAAAACCTTTTAGGTAATGTAAGAATTAATTACTGGATTACAGATTTGAAAATACTTTCACATAGATAGTAAGAAAGCTGCAATTAGATATAATTCCCTGAGTCCTTTGTTTAAAAAACTTACTAATTTTTAGTTACATAAATCTTTATTTATGAATAAAACCTAATTCACAATGGAAGAGACTTTTCTGAACTTTGTTCTTAAGAATTATGACTTTTGGCTTAAATTAGTAAAAACTTTCAGTGAATGAAGTCTTAACTACACTTTTTTCTGGATATATGTGTACATCCTTGAAATGCTTTATCCTTAGGTGTCATATGAAGTCCAACTTCCTGAAACATGAAGTAGAAATATTTTCTGCCTTTTATACTTATTAATACAAATTAATATATAAGAATATTAAGAATACAAAAGAGCTGTCATAAACCAGGACATAGTCCAGGCTCTATTATCTTCTGCATCTAGAGCACTATATTACAAGAACTCCTTTCAAAATAATGACCCTGGAAATTTGCAAGATCATGAAAGGTATTAGGGATTAAACAATGTCCAATAATATTTAAGCTCAATTAAATTTTTGGTACATTCTGATTTTTTGAAATATGATGATCTAAGCTGGTTTACAGAGCTATTAAAAAAAACCCCACACAATCAACTAAATGGTATTCAGCAGCATGACCTATTCCATAGCCTTGTAAACAATTTATTGTATGAACATATAAAGTACCTCACTAAATCTTAAGACAAACTTACAGGCATGGGTGTTAATTAGCCATTGAGGCCCAAGACACTCATATGACTCTTCCTGGGACCTAGTTTTCCAAGGTGTGAAATGGGCCTGGAGTAGCTGTGGGAACAAGCAGGAAAAAGAGCTTTCTGCCTTAGTTACAGAAAAATGACACTGATAGTTCTGATCAAGTACTTCTTAAGAATTTGAGGTAAGTAAGAGCCATTGTCTCTCCATTCTTCCCAATTTTTTTCCAAAGTGAGGAGAAAAAGGATTTGGAATAATTACTATTCCTACTCTCCAGATTTC